CGGCGGTAGTCAAGAAGTCGAAGCTCCAGGCCGCTGGTAAGCCTCTCCCTGTGGTTCTCTTTCCGCGATTCATCGCTCCTTTCATCGGGGATGGAATGAGGAAGAATCGCCTACCAGCCAAAGAACCTTACATGCCCATATACAAAATGCATGGTCATCGACCAACCCTCTCAAAGGAGGGTTATACCATAAACCGTCCTCTTCCACGAGCTATGCTCAATGTCATACCATCGACATCTGAGATACGCCAGAATTATGAACGCTCCATGCTGTCCCATGAACCAAGGGCAGCTACCCCGGAGCACTTAGAGCCGTCCCCCCCTTCAAGCGAGGGAGCACAAGCGTCATCTTCATCGGATGATGAAGATGCTGATGATGATGATGATGCTACTCGTGCTTCCCCCGGCCTTACACATACAATTCCTCAACCCACTTCCCAAAGGGCAACCACATCCACTACCCCTGGCGATCAAAGCCAAAGGGGTATTGAAACCAAACGACCCAGTCCAACCCCAAACCCAGCCCGCCATCCATAGGCCATTCTTCGGGCCTCTGGAGATGAACAAGCCGAGGAACCACATTTACCATCGCCCCTCTCTCAACAGAGAGGTGATGAAGGAATAATAGCCCCTTTGCCTTACGGCTCGCCACATCCCTTCACACACACAGAAGCATGTGTTGCTTCTGACGTTGAACCAATAGATCGTTCAGAGCGATCTTCCCTTCATGCACCTCTCCTTTCGATATTTGATCTACCGAAGGGGACACACATTCGTTTCACTTATTCGGCCTCTGAAGCCAAGGAAGAGGAAGCGGATGTCGCAACATCACGAGATAGCTCCTCTCTTGAGGGCTATCAAGGACACGATGGAAGTCCTTCAAGACCCACCTTCTCACAAGGTCAAGAAGGCGCCTCAGGAGCAGAGGCACAACCTGCAGCATCCGTTGCTGCAGGGGTTACCCCACTTGCTGATCTGGTCATAAAGGCTGAGTTCCAAGCCTTTGTCGATACAGTGAAGCGATCCTTGGAAGACCTTAAACTCATCATGCAAGGGATTGTAGAAAACAAACCCTCCACCTCTACCTCTAACCTCCAACAATCCCTTACAATCCTACAACGCCACCTTACCCAACTCGAAACCCAAACACAAACCAACACCACCCGCCTACAAATGATCCAACAAACCATAACCCAACACCATAACACCTCTTCCTCTCTAGCCACTCAACGAAACCAAGTCATTGTCCAATCCATCGCCACTCTCACGGCCCAGGCAACTAAGGCCGATGAAAACCTTACCTACATAATCACCCAACTTCAAACCATCCTCCGCAACCTTCACTCCCTATCAACCACCCTCCCCCAAGTCCCTCACCAAACACCACAACCATCCACCACAACTACCGATGCCACCCTCGCCACTCTCACCCACCAGTTGGCCGCCATCCAAGATACCCTCACCCAACTCCCAGCCACTATCCTCGCCCAAATCGCCCAGCCCATTCCTCAACCCCCACCTCCCTCTGCAGGCCCATCCTTCGATGAAGCCTTCTCCTCTTTCACTGCAGAGGTGAGAGATCTAATAACCAACCTTCCCATTCCCCCATCCACATCCACAACCACCATGCCACCACCAACTTCATCCTCCAGGACAGAGTTCGCCACACGAGCGGACTAGCGAGCTCTGTCGAAAGCACTGATCTCATCTTTTAACAAGATCAGTGCCAAATTTGTTCATCGGGCCACTCGTCCAACAATGGTTCTCTCCCAGAACCTGGCTGATGAACAACGGCGTACCACTTCCCTCCTACAAACAATGGAGGCGAGTCAACGACAAACCTCCCTGAAGACATACCTCGCCACCTTCAGGAAGGAACAGAAGAAGAAGAGGACAAGAGCCTCTTGCTCTAGCAGCCGCCCGCACAAGAGGCCTAGACATGACGACCAAGACCCCGATGATCAAGGTCTTGGACCTCATGAGGGGGACACACAGGCCACAGCTGCACGTGAAACCGAATCTGCTGCACCATCACCATCACCATCACCATCACCACAACCACCATCTTCGCCAGAATGAACCCAGGCAAGGGAACCAGAGGCTCTGCCCTCTGAAGATGTACATATACAAGTTCCCTTTACCGCAACCCAAGAGCCCATCGTGTTGAGCTCTTCAACCGATGAAGAACCTACCACTCCACCAACACAACTTAACCAACCTCTTCATTATACACCCACATCAAGCCTACCCTTAACCCCTTCACCAATGCCTCGCACAACCCAATCCTTCACCATTTCTACACAACCAGAACCTATAACAAACCAACCATTGTCCCAACTACCACAAACCCCAACAGAAACCCATGCACCAGAAACCACCCAAACCCAAACCGAGCCAACCAATGAAACCATATCCACTACCCATATACAAACCCAAACTGAAACACAACCTCCAACCGATACACAACCCTTAACCCATCAACTAATGGTGCATACGGATACTCCCTCTTCTTCAAGGCAACCTCCACAAGGCCTGGTAGATGAAATCATACAGAGCATGGAGTCGATGAGGAGACGTCCTCAACTACCGCCCAGGGAACCAGTCATGATGGAAAATATCCATCAATATATGTATCAAGATCGCGATGAGAGTTTGTCAACCAATCCTCCAATCCTATCACCTGAGTCTATGAACCTCTTACACCATCGATTCATCAGACAGACCACACAAGCACCCCAGGTTGTCTTTTTGAATGATGGAATAAGGAGAGTCATAGACTTGAAAGTAAAGACATTTGCCAACCAAGCTATCCGATACATCGAGTTCACTGTAGAGAGTGCCCGTGGGTTAGTTAGCGTGTTCAACGAAAACGACCTCATCAATCTCAACCCATACGACTTGATCGAGTTATATGCTTACACAGCTCAAAGGCAGGATCACGGCATAAGATTTGGAATGGCAAACCGAGCAATAGTAAAGACGATGGAATCCCTGGTGAAACACAGAGCCAAAAGTGATTTTGAAATTGCTTTTAGGCTAGGCATTGAAAGACTATCCTGCGCTCCTCCAAACGAAGACTTCCAGGGCCTCCAGGAGAAACGATCTGCCTCAGTTCTGACTCAACCCGAACTTGGACTTGTTTACAAGAATGAGTTCGGGGTTAAAAAATTCTTCAGACTGACTGAAGCCTTCAAGTATTCAACAGATACACTTGAATGGTTTCAGAAAATTATTAGAGAAAGACTGGGCAGAAACCATGTGCCGAGGGAAGTAGGGAGTCAGCTCATTCACGAGATATCAACAGTCATCGCATATCGAAGACTGCTCTTGCGCTTCAGAGAAATATACTCAGGTAGCTCGTGATGAGTTATAAGTTTTTGTTAGTCTTGCCTTGATGTATTTTAATTCAAGTATTGTAAGAAATTTCATCATCCAATGAAAATTTGGAATTTGATGTTTTTCTACTAGANCCCACAAGTCATAATGTAAAAAGTAATGAAAAACAATAAGTGATGAAAAAACCAGAAGACCAATGAAGACATCAAGGCAGAAACGACTAAGTCTGGAATTCAACCAGAGGACCGATGGACAGTTCAACCAGAGGACCAATGGACAGCCCAAGGATGCGATAGAAAGAGCATTCTCATCAATCCTCTGGTCATCAACACTTAGAAGATTTTCCAGCACTTCAWYCAAGCATGCAATGAAGATTTGAAGATAAGGATGAAATCATCATATCATGAATGACAGYTGGAGATGACAWGTCAAYAGCTGGAATTCGAGTTTATCTCAATATTAGCGCCTATCCATACAAAAGATAAACCTTATCTGTTAATAGAGGATTTACTAGAAAATAGCATTATATAGATATCTTTTTATTAGCTGATTAGTATAAATAGGTGATTAGATCTATTGTAAAAAGAGTCGCTTTTACGAATCGCTCTTACGTTTCACAGTTTATAAAGTAAAACCTTTGAAGCTCAAAACTGTTCTTAAATATTCTTATTTTTATTCTCGAGTCTTCATAACTTTCTTCGTAAAATCACTATAATTTGGTTATTCATAACTAGATTATTAGTGTTATTGAGAGATCTGAGATCAACATATTTGCCATTAAAAAATAAGATTGATTAGATATAGGATCTAATGCAATGAAATCAGATAAAAGAAATCAGGAACAGTTAAGCTCAAAAAGAAAACCAGAAACACACAAAAACTGATGAGAAAACAGATAATTGACGAAAAACTATCAAAAATCAGTAAAAACAGTCAAAACTGTTGAAAACAGTTAAAAACTATTAAAAACAGTCAAAGACAGTTAAAACTGATGAAAAACAGTTTACGCGACAGAAAAATAGTTCAACGATTCTCAAACAGTTTAAACACAACAAAAAACAGATAAACAATGATCCAAAAATTAAAATCTAAACAACAAAAAAATTAAACCCAAGAAAATATAAGCCCAAAACAATTTTCCAAGACCAAATCAACATAAACGATTACAATTACAGAAATGATGATACAGTACAATACAATACAACACAACCTTAAGAGCAATTTCAAACAGCAAACAAAGATTAACACATTCTAATTTGTGTCCATCTGCTTGATAAAGTGCAAAAACATGAACAGACTACAAGACTTGTGATGCCACAAAGCATCGACTACGAGACCATAATCTCTACTACTGCGTTGTCGTGGATCAATTTGTCGCTAAAATCCTCAAATGATTTGAAAAGCAACAGCTTTTCTCGCTAGACCATGTTTAAGCAGCCTTGATATGTAAACCAGGGAAGGAGCATATCACTCCAGATAAGAATTCCTGCATCCAAAAATAGGACAATGATTGCAAAATTGTTACTCAATCAAGTGTAGCTCCAAAAAGGTACATATGATTTACAACAAATCTATAAACCATGCAATTTAGAATAAATCGATCAATGAAACCAGCGATTTAGGTGAAATCCAGTCACAACTATAATATACAATCCTGCAAAGAACCTGCACAACTTCATTAACTGGTAGTAGATATCCAAACAAAAATGAGCTCACACGGGTATTGGTCAATGCACCAGCACTACCATTGGAGGCAATCCATCTAGGACCAACGGCAAGATACCTGAAGTCAAAACAATGTACTTGTGCAGCTTGTCAAACAGCAACAATGTGGGAACTGCATCTTACTGAGTGAATAACTAATCTGTTTATTATGCATTTCCACCTGAGTAAACAATGCACATTTCCACCTTGCACAAAGTATTGTTGAAGATGGAGAGAAGAATTGATCCTGTCTTAACCAGCCTGTATCTTTGATCAATCAAACACAGTGATACCAACTGAAGTTACCTGAACCACTTTGGTCAATCAAAAGCAATGAACTTGGTTTAAACAGTAAACCTTAGAGCAATATGAACCAAAATACAGCAACTAAAATTCCAACCAGGTGGCTTTTTACAAAGATAAATCGACTGAAAACACTCAAAATGTCTGATTTACCTGAACCACTTTGGTCAATCAAAAGCAAGGAACTTGGTCTTAAATAGTAAACCTTAGAGCACTATGAACCAAAATACAGCAACTGAAATTCCAACCAGGTGGCTTTTTACAAAAATAAATCGACTGAAAACACTCAAACTGTCTGATTTACACACTCCAAGTCCAGGTAAGACAAAGAACTCGATTGATTCGCATGATTCTTGCATCAATTTTCTGAGCTCAATGGACAATTGATCTTTTTGATTCTAAAACTACTGTTTCTTTTCTGCTTCTATGCCAGACACAGCAAAAACCAAATCTAAAACCAAATCTAAAACAGATGAAGTTTAAGCTGGAAATCTGAGATTGAAAGAAAAATCGAACAGGTTGATCTTTCAATTTAAGTCAAGAACACTGAGACTCCATAAAGATACAACCTACTGACCATACATCAATTGCAGCAGTATAACCAAAAGAATTTAACAATAGCTCTGGTGCACGATACCATCTTGTAACAACATATTCTGTCATGAAATCAGTTTCAGATATAACACGAGCTAATCCAAAATCACATACTTTGAGATCACAATTTGCATTCAGGAGAAGATTGCTAGGATTCAAATTCCTGTGCAACACATTTGCTGAATGTATGTATTTCAACCCACTTAGGATCTGATACAGAAAGTACTGGCAATGCTCCTCTGATAACGATTAATCTGTCTCTGTGTATTTGTATCAAAATCAACAGCATAGACCATCCACCATATCTCTGATTTACAGTTGAAATCAAGTTATAATGACTTAAAAAAACTTGTCATTGAGAATAACCTTGAATACAGATGATGTGCAATAAATGTGCGATGAACTCAAAACAAAACAGGTGATTTACCAGACCCTTTGAAACAATTTAAAATTGATTTAACAGAACCTATGATGTCCGATTTAACACAACCACAAAATCAAATAACACAACACACAACAAGATTGAGCTTCAAAATCGATCAAGCTTTGAACCCTGTGAGTGATTTAGAAATACGATTGAATATGTGCTCTATTGTGCGATTTAGAAGTCCGTGCGATAATCAAACAGATTTTGTAGATGATTTACACACCTGATTGAGCGATTTACCCACCCTGCGTGCGATTTAGCTTAAATCGGTCACAACATAAACTAAATCCGGTCACTAGTCCGCTCAAACGTTGTAGGAATTAAGACAGAATCCGCTCAAGAGATGTACGATTTAGACTTAGAAAAATTAGATGAAAGTTGAGCGATAAACTAATCCGATCAAAAGTCCGATCAAGCTTTGTGCGACTTAAGAGGAATCCGGTCACCAATTAGTCTGAGGAAGAAAATGGTCGATGAAAATGGTTGGGCTGAAGAACCAAGTCTTATCCAGATGGGCCAAAGAAACTAATGGGCCTTGAGAGATTTACTACCAAAACACAAAAGCAAATCAAAAAATTTTAAAAAATGGATCAAAACACTGGAATTTTTTTAAAAAAAATTTAAGAACACGAAAAAATTTAAAATCACAAAAATCAAACAAATCTTGAAATCAGATGATCAAAACACAAAACTTTGTGATTAACAAAGATTCACAACACAATTATGAACAGTTTGATCATGATTTTAACACAAAAACACGAGATTTTAAAGAAATTTTGGATCAACTTCAAAGAAAAATGAAGAACATAAGATGAAGAACACAAAAAAAAAAACCAGAAAATTTCTTCAGAAAATTTTCATAATCTTCATAATTTTCCCCGGTAGCACGAATCGAAGCTATAAGGATGTTCTTGGCATACGCTGCACACAAGAACTTCACTGTGTACCAAATGGACGTCAAGATGGCATTTCTTTATGGTCTTCTCAAGGAAGAAGTTTATGTAGATCAATCGGAGGGTTTTGTGGATCAGTCAAAGCCGGATCACATATATGTCCTTGACATAGCTTTATACGGTCTTAAACAAGCACCGAAAGCCTGGTACGATATCTTATCAGAATTTTTGGTGAAATCAGGTTTCTCGAAAGGTAACATTGACACAACCCACTTTATTAAAAAGGAGAAGTCAGATATTATTTTGATACAAATTTATATAGATGATATAATATTTGGATCTACGACCCCAAAATACTGCAAAAACTTTTATGTCTTAATGGTTTCTCGTTTTAAAATGAGTATGATGGGTGAGATGAACTTCTTTTTATGACTTCAAGTAAAACAATTATCTTCGGAAATTTTTATCTGTCAAACAAAATATATTTCTGATATCCTGAAGAAATTTAATTTGAAAAATTGTTCATCTAGCAAAACACCTATGGCTCATGGTACAAAACTACATGTTGATCCATCTGGAAAAGCTGTAGATCAGAAAACATACAGAGGCATGATTGGTTCTTTAATGTATTTAACGTCTTGTAGACCGGATATTATGTTTTTAACACATCTTTGTGCCAGATATCAGGCTAATCCAAAGGAGTCCCATTTAAGTGTTGTTAAGCACATTTTTCGTTATCTGAAAGGGACTGCTAATCTTGGACTCTGGTATCCCAAGGGTACTAGCTTTGAACTAACAGCATACTCAGATGCAGATTACGCAAGTTGTATGTTGGACAGGAAGAGTATCTCGGGTCATCTACAATTTATGGGAGATAAACTCGTAAGCTGGGCTTCCAGGAAACAAAACTGTGTATCCATCTCTATCGCTGAAGCAGAATATGTAGTTTCTGCTAGCTGTTGTTCTCAAGTATTATGGATGCAGACACAGCTCAGAGACTACGGTTTTCATTTTAATAAAATTCCCATTTATTGTGATTCGAAGAGTACAATAGCAATATCTTGTAATCATGTTCAACACACTAAGACCAAACATATAGATATCCGGTATCACTTTATTAAAGATCATGTAGAAAAAGAAACTATTGAATTGTATTTTGTAAATACATAATTTCAACTAGCCGACTTATTTACGAAAGCTTTAGATGAAAAACGTTTTAGCTTTCTAGTATCTAAGTTAGGCATGTTAAATTTGAAAATTTGAATTTTTCTTAAAAACAGTTCAATTTATTGAACTGTGTTTAATTCAAATTCATTTGGTCAAAACTGTATTTTTTAATACAAATCAGTATTTCAATTTTATGTGATTTTAAATCTTTTGATAGTGGAAATCTATATTTGAGGGGGAGTGTGGAATTTTGTTCATGTTTTACTGATTCATATTTTGAGGGGGAGTAAATATATCTGTATGTACTAACTGGTTTAATTTTCTCTTACAGGTTATCGTACAATATCTAATTTTTGAACGATTTAGAGTTTAGAAGAATAAGTGTTTGGCCGATTTAGACTAATTCGGACAACACATTGTCCGATATATCTCATATTCGGACAAAGCAGTGTCCGATTTAGACTAAACCGTACAAATGGCTATTCGATAAACTCTTATCCGGATAAGATTAGATATGTGCTAAGGAGTTGTGCGATTTAGTAAATCGCTTGTTGATAGTGTCCGATTTAGTAATTCGTTTGATCTTGTGAGTGACTAAGTGTAAATCACTCGTTTCGTTGAGCGATTTATGTCTAAATCGCTTGTTTCGTTGTGCGGTTTATCTCTTTATCGCTTGTTCGTTGTGCGATTTATCATCTGGTTTATGACTTAGTGGTGAGAGAGTAAGTCTAAATCGGACAACCCTTTGTCCGATTTATCTTAATCCGAACAACCTTTGATCGTGTAGAAGTTGAAGGGTCTTTGTCTTTTCTATAAATATTCATCCGATTTGTCCTTTTCACTTTTTACTCTCTCATATCTCTCAATACTGTTCAAGTTCTATAAATATTTGTCTTTTCTATAAATATTCATCTCCGTTTCCTTAAATCGCTCAAGTTCTTCAAGGATTCTTCAATCGATTCTCTGTTTCATCTTCATCTTTCAATCTAAAGTCAATATATTATAATCATTTGGACATTGTTCTTGTTGGACTTAATAAGTAATCGAAACCTTAAATGAATACATAATCGATTTTGGGCTTAATGTTGAATCTGAATATAAATGAACATAAATCGCTTACTAATAAACCGCTCAAGATCTTAATAACGTTTAGTTTTTGTGATGTTAATTGTTTTTTAGGTTAGATTTTATTGGTTTTGATCGATTTAGTTTTAGGATATGTTTTTTGATTTTAGTCGATTTAGGTTTTAAGGTTTTGATCGGATTTCTCACCGAAGAAGGTGACCGGATTTTTAATCCGATCAACCTCAACCGGTATGCTTGTCCGGTTTAGTTTTTACTTAAGTTTTTCTTTATTTTTTTTCTTTTTGACCGGATTAGTAATCCGGGTGATTCTAATTTTTTTTTAAGTTTTTTTAACTGGATTAGTTATCCGGGTATTTTTTTTTTATTCAATTTTTTTTAGTTTATTTTGTTTTCCTTTAATTTTTTTATGGAATTTTTTTAAATTTTTTTTAGTTTAGTTTGTTTCCTATTTTTTTAGTTATTTTTTTTTAGTTATTTTTTTTTACTTTTAGTATTTTGTTAGCTTTACATTTTTTTTAAGAATTTTAATATTTTTTTAAGTTTTTTCATTTCTTTAGAATATTTTTTTTTACGTATTGGGTATTAGCATTGAATAATTTTTTTATCTAGATCTAACATTTCATGATTTTTACAAGTAAAAATGGCTGAACATCGAAAGTCTGACAAGGAATCTCACATTCCTTCCATTAGATCTGCAACCTCAACAACCCTAACCAGCCAACAAATAACCCAATATCATATGAAACATTATTTCCTCAATGTTTTTATCTCGAAATAAAACCAAACAACCATCATTTCAACTTTGACATGCCCTCCGAATACAAAATCATATCTGAAATACTTCGTGGACACCCTATCTCATATGCCCTTTCAGCTAACGTTTTTGTCCAAATGGTATATCTTCAACAGTTCTGGAACACCCTTACACTTGCAAAAGATGGTGACATTTACTTATTTGAAGGCAATGTAGACGAATACACAAGTCGGTTGACCTTGAAACGACTTCGAAGAATTCTACGTCTACTAGGACCAACCTCGTCAGGATTTGAACAGCTAGTCACCGATGACGAGCTATGCAGAGACATCAAGAGATTAGGATACCCTCAAGAGTTAACTAATCCATCTCAGTTCAAAAGAAGATTTCTTCCGTCAATATGGCACCTACTCTTTTCAATCCTCAGTCGGTGCCTAACATCCAAGATTGCCGGAATTGACACCTGTAGCAGTACCTTCCAGAACTTCCACGTCATTGTTTTCACGTGCCATTACGATTACGCGTTTATCATCTGGAATGAACTAGTCGAGTTAGTCAAAACCAAACGATTCCCATCAAAAGCAAGAAAGTTTGTGCCGTTTCAGAGATTTCTTCAACTGATTATCAAAGCCATGATGAACGCAAATGATGAAATACCGGCCAAGGCATACGATGAAGTTGGGCCATCGTTCGTCATGACACGTATTCGTCAACACACTGAAGTTGAAGATTTGGATTCGATAATGGAAATCCCACCTGAGTTATTTGCCTTTGCTGATCGGAGGGCTCAATGTGTAATAGATTATAGGAGAGTGATATATCCTATAGCTCAACCAGACCCGATTGAACTTACCCCGGGATCAACCCATGCCTTAGCTGAGGGAGAGGGTTTAGATATAGCTGAGAGAGTTTAGGAACACGATTACCTGAACATGGTTGTGAGCCGAGAGAAAATGTAATTGAGAGCGC